ATACAAGGTGATATGCTTACAGAATCATCTGGTAAAAGTTAAATTATGAGTTTTTTTAGAGATAAAGTACTAGTGTGGTTATCTTCATATTCTCACGACAGTTTCAACATTAATACATTTTACTTCTGAAAAGCCAAATGGTTAAGAATTCATGAAAATGCTATGCCATTGTATTCTGTTCATAGTCAGATAACACTTTTACTCTGAAGCAGAATATGATTAGAATTAGTCTCAGGCATCATTATTTAAATGATATAGTTTAGGTGACTGTATGCAAAAGTGTAATCAGTTGTGATTTGACTGTGTGTCATTAAGTATTAAAAAAACAAATCACTGCCATCGAGATGATTCCCGCTTATGGCGACCTTGTCGGATAGAATAGGATGCAATATTCTCAGTTTATAGAATAAAATTAACGTAAGATGTGATAATGTATCTAGGAAAAGAAATTACTAACATATCACATTTTTATTACTATTGGTATTGGGAAAATTATGGAATTACATATAAATTCACATATACATGAAATTATAGTTTACATTTTTATCCCAGTCCTCCAAAACCTTATATGAAAGATTATTTTTATTCTTAAATTTGTTAAAATATAAATGCATCTAAAATATTAAAGTACTAATTAAACATGAATCAAAATTTCACATGGAAAAGTTACAATATTTCTTCAATGAAAATATTTTAAAATATATTGGCATATATTGTGTCTGATCAAAGTAATTACTAGCTAGAAACAAAAAATATGAGTTAGAATCTGATGATCTTCAACTTTACTTTCTGTTTTCTTCTAAAATAATCCCCCAATAATATACTTAACTTCAAAACTCAGAAGGGAACAGTGCCCAAATCTTTGCCTCATCTCCAATCTTATCATTTCACTGGCCTGTCTTAAATTTTAATCATGAAAGCTGATTGTTTAAGATCACGCATGGGATCATGGAGCCCTTGAAGAAGCATATAACCTGTAAGTGGTATAGAGAGGCCTTTTAGGTTTTTCCTTAGCCTAGCCAAGCTCCGCCCCTACTGAAGAGCTCAACTAGAACTTCTCTTGAAAAAAAAAAGAAGACCCCAGAGTTGACCCAAGTTATGAGATCTTATCCTCCAGAAATATTGCAGTGAAGACCTCTTCTTTTCAGCACCTCCTACACAGTTGGACTTGGTGCTGAAGGGACAGCTCCCAGGGTTTTGAGTGGTTTCTTTAATTCTTCCTAGGATAATCTTATCCACAGCCTTTCTGCTACACACAGCCATTCACAAAATCAGAGGAGGGAACTGTGATCAACCCTAATTCCCTAGGCATTTAGTTAGACTGATGTTCAAACACACCCACCTTTCTTAAGTATGTAATTATTTGTGGGTGGAGGCCCACCAGGGTGGGTAAAAGAAGAGGGGTGGTGGTAGTAAAATAGGGTTTTCTTCTTCTTCTTGATTTATAAGAATATTTTCATCATTGTTGCTGTCCTATTTTCTTAAGTCAGAGAATGATGGAGTTCAAAGCAAAAGAATGATTCAAGAAATGGAGATAGGACTCAGGAGCCTAGAAAAGATCAGAACAGTTTACTTAAACTTAAATGCTTCTCTCCCTAGGAACCCAGTATCATTCAGATGCACAGGTATCTGTGTTCCCTGGCTTTCTAGATTATAGCACACACAGGCAAACAGTTGTTTCCAAGCAGAAGAGAAAGGAGGTGAGGAAAAATAGGAGAAAGGGCTGGGCTGGAGCTTGTTCTTCCTGTCCTCCAAGCTAAGGAAGGTGGGGGCTAAAACTGAAAACCTGTGAACGTGCGGATAGACTCTAAACGCAGTAGCCAATCCCCCCACAGACCCGATCTCTTCCCTACCACCCCTCATCATTCGTGACTGCGCGACAGGGCGATTTAGGCATCCGTGTGGGAGTGTGTGTGAGGTGAATGCTGGGGAGCGTGCGCTCTCCAAAAGGATAAGCCAGCATCTCCCTGTTTGATAGCTCGTGTTCATTCACACGTATGCCGTGGATAAATATTTGATCAAAGGTGGAAGAGTTAGACTGATCAGTTGGATTTTTAATGGGCACACCTTAAAAGAGGGTGCTCCTAAATTGCAAGTGTGAAAAGATGGAAAGTGCAGTCCCTAAGCGTCTAGCCCCTTCTACCCATTCCATCCCCACCCTCACCTCCACGCCCCAAAGAGGGAAAGCTTGCAGCAGATTGTCTGCAGCTAGAGGGAAGGGGATTAGGGACAGAGGAGTGCAAGTTAAATTGTGCTGCACATAAAAAATGGGCGGATTGCTCTCCAGATCCGAGAGGCTGGTACCACCTTCCTTTCTAAAATAAAATCTCTGTGGCATGAAGTCACCGCCTATTTCACATCCGGTTTGCCCTGGGACGTATTACTAGTGTCTCGGTAAAGAGAAATCTTTTGTTTTATAGCCGCAGATTTGGATAGTGGGGAGCAAATTTGGGTGTGAAATCTTCAGCCGGGGAGCACGCAGAGTCCATGTTGGCTCAGACCGAGTGAGTGCGAGGCGGCGCGAGGACGCCCTCCTCCTCCCGCAGCTCGGGGCTTCCGCCAGTCTCTCACGCCCCGCCCCCAGGGCGCGAGGAACCAATCCTCGCGCACGCCGCTTAGCTCCTCCCTC